AGGGTGCGTGGGCGTGCGGGGTCCGACTCCAACGGTCGCTGGCCGCCCAGCTGGCCCAGCCCGACCATCCAGGCCAGCTGCCGCTGCAGGGGCCACTGCGGCTGGTTTCGCGATGTCGACGTGGACGGCGCTCACCCCAGCCCTCGCCCCAGCCCCGCTCGCCCCGTGCCACGGCGTCCGCCCAGGGCTGCCCCAGGGTGGGGACGCTGGGGGATGGCGGGGCCCTTCGATCGGAGGGGCAATTGAACCTCCTGTCGCCCTGTCCGCGTAGCTCTGGAGATTCGCTAGGGTCGTCCGCCGGGGACGCGGGGCTGCAGGGCTTGGCTGCCACCTCAGGGCTGCGGGGGGAATCGACTCGCAGGACGGGCGGGCCCGAGCTGGGGACCGGGGGCAGGGCAGCCGAGGCCCCTTTTCGCACCCGAGGGGGTGGAGCGGGTTGGGCGTCAGCGGCTTGTGAGTCAGCCACGGAGGTGTCGGAGACGGCATCGCCGTGGGCAGCTGCGCCGTCGCCTCTGCTGGGGAGAGGGAGGCCCGTTGCACTAGGCTTACGCGGGGGAGACGAGTCCGGGGGCGCTGCACCGGCGGCGGGGTCTTCGGCGGCCGGGCTCGCCAGCCGCGGCGGCCGCCTGCTGGGGGCGGGAGCTGGCCCTACAGGCGCGGGGAGGGCCGGTTCCACTCCGCGCGGGCGTCGAGGGGGAGAGCGCAGGATTGCCCCAGCCTGGTGGGTCGTACGAGTGGCCGGGAAATGTGTAAACTCAGCGGGTGGGTCGGTTGTCACCCTTCGCTCGTCGTTGATTTGCTTCAACCACTCGTTTTCGCTGTGCCCCCTGGTGAGGGTGTCGTCGAGCTGCCTGCGTAGTTCCTGCGTGTACTCGAAAGGACAGCCCCCGGCCAACTCGCAAAACGACCCAGAGGCAACCAGGTCGGAGCTGACCTGACTCAGGAACCTCACAAGGGCGCTCAGCGCGCGGCGGGGCGGGGAAGGACCGCGCACGGGCCACTGGTTGGCGCGCTGGAGCCATTTGGCACGCAGCGGGCAGTCAGTGGAGCGGACGCAGAGGCGAGCGACCACGCGGGCGGCAGCGAGCCGCTTACCGTGCCAGAAAAAATCCGCGGGGAGGTAGTCCGGCGCGACTCTGTCGCCGAAAATGTTTTTCAGGAAGGGGCGGAGCGAGCACGGCCCCCAAATGTCGGGGGACTCGGCGCCCTTGACGTCTCTGCGCTGCACTGCGACAAAATCCTTCCTGAGGTCGTCCAGAGCTGGTTCCAGGCCGCGTTGGAAGTCGACCATCCTAGCCTCGATGGGCTTCACATCTGGGCGGTTATCCATCTTCGGTGGCGGCCTGCAGGTCGTCGATGTCGATGCGCGCCAGCGCGGGGCCTCTGGGGGGATCAGCGTGGGGGAGAAGGTTGCGTATCTCCACGGCACCGCGCCTTGCGGGGGGCTTCCCGTACTGGTCGGGGTGAAAGAGGGTGAGGGGGAGGCCACTCTTGCTGAACGCGTCAGGCCTCGTTGCGAAGGCGCGGTTTGGTGCTAGTGCGCGGGCCAATGATGGCTCGTCGGGCACAGGGGGGGCGGCGCGCGGCTTCGAACTGGGGGGGCCAGGGTAAATCAGGCGGGCGTCGCGGTCGAGGAGCGCCTCGACAACACTGGGTCGGACGCCCCATGCGCGGACGAGGCACTGGCGGCACATCCACGCTGCACTCCACCTGCGGTGATGCCAGGCCACACAACACGATGCCCCCATGCGGGGAGTTCCCCGGCGCCCGCGCCACGCACATCCACGCAACACCAACCCAACGCAAGGGTTCCGGCCTGCCAGACGAGAGCAGGGGCCCTGGGCGGGCAGCCGTCGCACGTCGCAGCGCAACGACTGGTCTCCGATGCTGCGCAACCGAATCTGTCGCCCTCCGGCCGGGCAGGCGGTCGGGCGGCGCTTGAACTCCTTAGCACCTGGAGGTCCGCGGGGTCCAACAGGCATTCCTCGAGGACAGCAGGGGGCACGGTGGGGGGCAGCGCCAGGTGCGCGCGTTGGGAGGCGGTCGGGGGTAAGGCATCCACTGGAGGGGGCCGGATGGGTTTTTGGCCAGCGCGAGGACTTGCATCTGCTCGTGGATGGCCTCCCCCGAGGGGACTTGGCACCCCTGCTTTTCTACCTCTTGCACCCAGCATTGGCCGCGCACCCATGCGCAGTCTAACCCGTCGGCGTGCGCCTGCAGGCGGTTCTGCGCCAGGTACAAGCAGATAGTGCCGTGAAGCCACGTGCCCTCGGCGCGCCTGAAGGTGCCTTTGAAGCAGTGGTCGCACCGATACCTAGCCGTCTTCCGATCAGGGCTGAATCGGAAGGGCGTCGTCTGGGTACCAGGGTGTCGCCAGGGGCAAGGCATCCACGGGCGTCGCCAGGGGCCAGGTAGCACGGTGTCTTGGTCACGCTGGGAAGTGGAGCGGGGGGGCAGCGCCCTGTCCACGGGGATCCGAGCGAAAGAACAGCCTCCGCCAAGGAACGCCAGCTCCGAGGGGGCGTCGTCGGGATCTAGGCCGTCGTCGCTGCCTATGAGGTCGCGGCGCAGGACGCAGATGCTGCAGTCTGACCGAGATAGGATGCCGAGGTTGGCAGGTTTCACGATCTTCTCCAAGCGGGGCATTGCGCTTGTTCGGCGGCGGGGCGCTCGTGAGCGACAACCACAAACTTGTCCACGAGGGCGATCAGGGACTCGAGTCGGTCGTGCAGCTGGCGGAGGTCAGCAAGCGCGAGACCCCCTGGCGCCGCGAACCGAACGCGAAAGTGGGAGTGGTCGTTCTGCCAAGGGCAGCAGACCCCGAGGATGGCCTCAAGGGTGTCTCCAGACCCCGAGGGATCTGGGATGGGCCAGAGGTGCGCACGTGGCTACTGTTTCATGAGCAGCGTGATTATGAAATCACAGCGGGCCCTCTCGGTTGTCATAATGTGGTCGCGGGGGTCGAGCAAGTCGACTCGGTGCTGGGCTGGTTCGTCGCGGCCCTGCAGTAGTCCGGCCAAGGTGTCGAAGCCGGGGTAGACGAGGTGTCGCGGGCAGTGTCTGGCCCCAGAGGACCATGCTTGGGGGGTCTGGTGTTGGAGATCAGCGGGGGCGCAGCGGCCTCTGTTCTGGGACGCCGAGTGGCTCTTCCCTGCACGCGCGGACGCGGGGGGAGCTCGTCGGGGCAGGTCTGGCACCGGGGGAGGCCCCAGGGGGGGCCCAGGCCGACCCCCCAGTCCAGGGTGGCACAGGTTATGTTGCATACCAAGTTGCCAGCGTCGAGTCCAATCACGACGTCGAACACATGCCCCAAGTGGCTCCAGGTTGCCCTATCGAACTGCGCGGGGTCGGAGGGGACGCCAGAGCTCCTGCTTTCTGCCGCGCGGGTCGTCGCGGCGGTCGTTACGGCGGAGCTTCTGGGCGCGCGCGGCCCGATTTTGACGCATACCTCTCGGGATGTGGCTTTCCAAACAAGAGGTTTCAGACGAAGTTTACGCAGCGCGCGCGTCGGCGCGCGCGCGGGGTGTGTTTTGCTGTGCTCCTGCGTGTTTTTCCGAACTCCTGTTCTGCCGTGTTTCTGCGTTCTGCCGCGACTCTGTGCTCCTGTGTGTTCTGCCGTGCCCCTGGTCTGCCGTGCTTCTGTGTTCTGCCGTGCCTCTGCGTGCCCTGTGCGTCATGCTGCGCGGGCCGTCGCGGCGGTCGTTTTGGCGGCGCTTCTGGGCGCGCGCGGCCCGATTTGAACGAGTACCTCTTGACATGTGGTTTTCCCCCCAAAAAAAAATCAGACGTGGTTTCCGTGGCGCGCGTGTCGGCGCGCGTGCGTCGTGGTTTCCGTGGCGCGCGCGTCGGCGCGCGCGCGGGGCGCGCGTTGCCGCGCCCCCGCATGTTCTGCCGTGCTCCTGCTCTGCCGTGCTTCTGTGTTATGCCGTGCCTCTGCGCGCCCTTATGCGATCTGCCGCGTTCCTGTATTCTGCCGGGCGGATCGTCGCGGAGGTCGTTCTGGCGGAGTTTCTGGACGCGCGCGGCCCGATTTGAACGAGTGCCTCTCAAGATGCGGTTTTCCAAACAAAAGGTGTCTGACGTGGTTTCCACGGCGCGCGCGCCGGCGCGCGCGCGGGGTGCGTTTTGCCACGCTCCTGTGTGTTCTGCCGTGTTCCTGTTCTGCCGTGTTTCTGTGTTCTGCCGTGCCCCCGCGCGCCCTGCGTGTTCGGCCGCGCCCCTGCACTCTGCCGCGCGGATCGTCGCGGCGGTCGTTTTGGCAGAGGGCGCGCGGGTTATGCCGCCAGCCGACCAGGCGAGCCCCCCCCCCCCCCATGGCACGCCAGGTGGCGCCGCCACCTTCTACGACCCAAATGGTATATGTGGACCACTTGTCAATGGGCCCTGCTGAAGGCAATGGGTGTGCAAACATCATGAGTGTTGTGATCAATCCTGTCAACGCGGCTTTTCAAGTGACGCAGTTGCTGCATGTGTCGGGAAGCTGCGATGCGGATATATAAAAATGATAATAATAATTCTAAAGATTGTGTTATCCCAGCTCTGGTAGCAGACCGAGTTCGGCCATCTAGATACTTGAGACTAGCGCTCCTGATAATTATCGTTCCATTGCCGTGCCGAGCAGCTCTGCAGCTGCAGATAGTTAAGTTCGGGGAACCGACGGCACCTGCCACGATGACACTCAACAGCCGATCCCGCCTGAGTGCTTTCTGACAATAATATCTACCTGATCGACCTGAGATTAAGATGGCGAGCGGGAATAACATCGAATATGGGGAAATGAATATTAGAACTCTAACGAGTGTTCAAATTTTCGGAATCGGATTAACGGGAAGATTTTTCGGGCCAACTAGCCCGCCAGCGCGCCGGAGTTACTCTCTAGCTTCGCCGCTTCGCTCTCAGGAAAGCTCTACGAGTCACTTCGAGAAACCGATTAAGATGGGCAAAAAAACATCCGCCGAGACTGGGGGCCGGCGGTAGTCCGTCAACCATGGTTTTTTAAGTTTCAGGATGAGTCAGGGCGCGGACAGCTGCGACAGCTGAGCCCTAAGATTCCCAAACGGAGCACAGGGTAGCTAGAGAAGGCACCTCTTATCATCACACTGCCGAGCCACTGAGACATAGGCATCGGAATAGGATGCAGGAACAAGGAAAAGGATGCAGCACAACATGTGAGAATGCAAAGGTGTTGGAACAGGTTACAGAATGGTGTAAGAGCTGGTTGAAACGCTACCCAAAACGTGTTCCACGGCCATACAATGTCGTTTTACTGCATTGATCAAAGCAACAGCCGATCAGCAGTATACTTCCACAGACCGCCCTCCAACGAAGAAACCGTGGAGGCCGACTAGTTCACGTTTACGTTGTATATCCAGCGCCAGGCGCCAGTTAAGGCCGCAGTTAAGGCCAAAAGGTTACGCAAAGGTTCGAAATGTGGCTCTGTAAGCGTTGTTCCATCAACCGTTGAGCACCACTTGAGTAGAATGTCAAGCACCGCCAATGTCCGAAGCACCACCCTGCAATACGGTGCATCCTTATCTTGTCCAACCGACACAGCCCACAGGTTCTCTGGATGTCCGCGCCCTCCTCCCCATCACGGCGCAAAGCCTCACAGAAACGTTGCAGGGCAGCCTGCTTCAAGTAAAAATTTGCCCTCACTCGCTGGGTGGCCATATTATCCCATGCGTGGGAGGCGCATCCGAATCAGCGTCCTCATTGCACTCTGATTGATAGTTATGCAACTCATCCACCTCCGTTTCCTTGTCGCCTTCGGGCGACAAGGGCACACTTGAGGCAGGTAGAGCGGAAGAAACTGAATCGTGAAAAGAGGACGGAGGTTGGGGAGGATCGCAAGTAGATTGATGGGCCGACTTTGACATAGGAGCCTTCGCCCTTACCCCCTCCTGTTTCTGCGGTGCCTCTGGCCTTTCCCACGGCCAGCATCCTCCTCAGGAGTCGGCGCCTCCTCGGACTCTCAATTCCCATTCGAAGTTTGCATGCATTGAGCGCCTCGATCCGAGCATGAAACTCATTTTTCGAGAGCCGTTCGAATTCCCGCCAAAGAGCAACTGCATCGTCATTGGCACGGGCCCAGTCCCTGGCAGCCTGACACTCAGATTGATTGCTCTGCAACTCATCTGAACAGAGCCGGGAAGAAGATGCACAGTTATCTTTACGCTGGTCAACTTCGCACTCTCCGTGGGTTTTCGAGGATGCCAACGGCAGGGCCTCCAACTAAGGAACTGAGTGCAGAGAATAATCCCAAGGAGCTGAGTGCAAAGAATAATCCAAAGGAAATGCGTGCAGTACAGCATCATTTGATTGAGAAGCAAGCGACGCTTCTTGAGCAGCAACTGACGTAGAACTCTCCACAGATTCAACATGAACATGCTCCTCCTCCTCGTCCTTGAAATCCTTAAGATCCCCCTTTGTGCGGCATCATGACAGCGCAATTTTGTTCGATTAGTCCTGGTTGACCAGTTGGAAGAGAATAATCAAACTGGCAACTTGTAGCCAAGCTGTATTTAATGTTATGCAGTTTAATGCTCGTGATGCATATTTTGTGGGTGATCCGAATACCTCCCCCGCGTTTGGCTGGTTTGATAACCTCGATGATTGCTCGCTAAACCCATGCCCGTTTCAGGGGAACTTGGAGGAGCAGGCCAATATATTCTTGAGTTCCTTATCGGTGCCAGAGCCGAAGACCAGAGAGAGACAATAAATCGAATTTGTCTGATTGCTGAAGTTGCTGATGTGTATTCGCATAACCTTTGGTCGCGGGCTTGGTCTGATTATTCGCAGAGACAGGAGGAGGACGTTTCGTCAGATCATGATCTTTTTGAATCGAAGTTTTCCGCTGTTTACCCAGGTATTCTGAAAGAGGAGTTGCATGATGAAAAGTTGCAGGATATCGGAATGCAGAATGAGGAGTTGCTGAATGAGCAGTTGCATTATTCTCATCATACATATTATATGGCTTCACGCTCTGAAGAGTGCCACACTTCAGCTTCTGACGCAGACCAGGCTCGCCATGGAAACAATGGGGAAGCTTGCCGGAAGCTCTCCCGGACACGCGGTCGGGACAGGCGAGGCGCCGCGGGGAACGTGAACCGCCGTGGCTTCTAATCGCACGCGCGCACGCTTGTCGGAAGCTCCCCCGGACACGTTGCCGGCTCGAGCGCGTTGCTGCGAGGCCCGTGGACCGCCGTGGAGGAGCTCCTGGCGGTCACCACAATCATCTGGCTTCTTAAACCTTCTAGCTCTCAGCGAGCTCTCCGGAAGCATTGGTAGCGTCCACTTGACAGAATCCAAAACCCGGAGAGCAAAGAGAACTTGGTAGCATCCCAAACCCGGAGAGCAAAGAGAAGTTGGTATGCACGCGCACCCACCCCCCTCGCGGAGAAAGGGGGGAGGTGAGGGTCGCTCTTTTCCTCGAGCAACAAAGGGCTGCAGGATTTCCTGGATCCTCCAGGACAGTCTAGATTATATTTTATATAATCATATATCTATGTGAAACTACAAACTTCCTAGCACCTCTCCTTGGGCGCTGGAAGCGGCTCGGCCTCCGGCCAAGAAAAGTGAGCCACAGGGAAACCTCTTTGTGCTCCCTGGGCAGGCGTCGCAACGGCGCTGGCCCCCTAAACCCATCGCGGGGCTACCCGCTGAGGGCAGGCGCGGGGCAAACCGCAGCCTGTAAAACAAAGCTCACCCTCGGCCGTCGTAGTGCTTCCTGCGACCATTCTCCTAGCCCTCTCCGTGGATCACCTGAGAGCCTCTGGAACGGTCTCGGCACTCGCCCTTGAACGTCTCGATCCACTTCTGCGCAGCCTCTGGACTGCTGATGTCCTGCAAGCTAAGCTTGGCAAGAGGTCCATGCGCTGTAGCCATCACCCGCAGCTGCTCGATCTCCTTGGCCTGGCGATCCGACAGAACACCTCCGTGCTTGATCATCCTCGTGACCAGGTCTTCTTTGATCCCTGACACGGCCAGGCTCTTGGCCTTCAAGACAGCTCGCAGCTCAGCCACAAGAAACGTGTTTAAGAGCTTGTGCCTTGCACCTTTGTCCTGCTGTGCACACACGGTCTTGAACTCGACGTCAGCCCGCGCAGATGGTGGGCAAGTGCTTCCAGAGGCGGGGCTAACCGCACCCTGGAGGAAGAACTTGTCGTAGAAGTTCTTGAAGTAGCAACCACACCAGCACCCCAATAAGAAAGTACTCGCTGCAGTCACCATAACAAGTCCCAACATCAAGTAGAACCTGAACTCCTCGCTCTCCACATAGTGGCTGACAGGCGCGGGGCAAACCGCAACCTCGTCAGATCCTCCGTACACTGTCACCTTCTCGCCTGACGCCTTCGTCACGACCTCCGTGAAAACTGCCATTGCGCTCAAGCCCGTCATCTGCTTTCCGAACCTGAGGTTGAGAGTGGTGCAATGCTTCTCGATTGTCGGCCACTCGCTGTACTTCGTGAGCATGTCGGCTGTCATCTTGCTGGTGTCCTCCTTGTGAAGCTCGAACGCCTTGAGACGCAACCGCTCCTGAATCCACAAGTACCTCAGCTCCAGATGCCTGACCTTGCCCACCCCAACTCGGCTGCACATGCCACGTCCAGCTGTGCTGTCACTATAGATCTTCAGGTTGCAGGGCCTCTGGGTCTCGATCAGGTAAGTCTTACACTGAAGTCCTCTGGCTGTCGCACTTCCCGTAGCATACATCTCGGATTCCCCTGAACTTAGGGCTATCGTACTCTGCGTCACTGAGTAGCAGTCCCAAGTGTGGTCGCCATACCTCACAGCTCCTCCACTGGTAGATCGCCGCTGTAGTTCACTCGTAGGTGCCCAATCCGCATCACCATCTACACGAATGCCTTCAGGAGTACCTTGAAGTGGGTAACACCAGACCAAAACAGGCTGTCCTTCGTAGTACCTTCCAAGTCGCTGAACACGCGCATGCATCAAGACGTTCGGGTTGGAGACGTGCTGCATCGCTGTCTTGCTGGCGTACATCGTGTCGGGCCTGTCCGAAGAAAGGTAAAGAGCGGTGCCTGCTGCACCCGCCACTTCTCGAGCACGATCCTTGGAAAGAAGGTCTAGGCTGTCTCGTCGGCCTTGTCCTGTAGCTTTCGTTCCTGGAGTAGGAGCTGGTTTACAACCTCGCTTCTGCGTCCACTTGATCATGAAGTCCACATGCTTGGGATCGGCAGTCCAGAAGAAACCTGGCTCCTCGCAACCTGGCAACTTGTCGGTGTAGCCGATCGTCCTCTTGAGGTATGTAGTCTGCCCCACCGCTCCTGGTCCAAGTCTGGCGCTGGCCGTGACCTCAAACTGCTGCTTCAACAACTCGTCCAGCTCGTCCAGCTGCTCGTCGTAGCCTTCAGCAAGAAAGTCATCGCCATGGCAGATCGCTGTGCTATCCTCGTCGAAGGGGGCTGTGTTGGGGCTAGCAGGTAAGTAGAACACGTTAGGAGTTCCAACCAAGCATTCCCAATGGCCGTCGTCCATAGTAGTTCTCACAAGCTCACCCCACATCTGCGACGCCTTCCTGGTACCGTTCATGGCCTTGCGTAACCACCAGCACCTTCCAGGCGGACACAGCTCTCTCCCAGGATGCACGTAGATCGTCTCGTCTAAGTCAGCGTTGAAGAAAGCCTTCCTGACGTCCCAGACTTGTATCTTCCGCAGGTGCTGCCCGCTGGAAGTTGGACTTGAAGCGGCACGGCTCAGCGTCGCTCTGACAATCATGAGCGGGGGCGTGCCTTGGTGGTTGTCCTCCCTGACCTCGTACTTGTTCACCTCGGTTGCTACGAACCTCCACCTGACCTTTCCTTCTTTCATGTGGGCTATCGGGAAACCTCCAATGTGCTTGCCGTCAGTCGCCGTCGATGTCGCCACTTCCACGTAGACCCCGTAGTCTTTCATGGCCTGCAGCTCGTCGTCGCGACCCTTCTGATACAGGTCCTCATCCAGAGGCTCTCCAGTATAGTAATCGTAGTGTATCGTCTTTGGGCTCCACTGGTCTTTCTCATGCAGCTCGGCGCTCACCTCAACCATCTGCTCCACCTGCTGATCCTCAGGATCTCCGAAGTGGCTCCTGATTGTGCCGATGTGGCTCATCAAACATCTCCTGCATGCACACTCAGCTTGGTGGCATTCTCGTAGCTGGCATCGTGACGAGTGCTTCTCACACCTCTCGGAACATCTCGCACTGCGCTTTGGGTGTGGATCCCACATGGGGTCGAAGCTCTCGTCGTAGCCCTCCTCGCAGACTGCCAACTCACAGACAGAGAGATGCCCAATGCTTGCTACCCTGGGCTTCTTGACCTCAGCTCCTTCACGAACTTCACCTGGGGCACTTCGCCGAAAGTCGCTCCTGAGCTCGCCACTCTCCGTGTCCATGGCTGTCTGCACCTCAGCCTCTCCTGGGCCAGGGACCATAGCTACGTCGCTGGCAGCAGGTGCGGGGCTCACCGCAACCTCACTGCTGCTTGATGCCGCTGCTCCTCCTGGTGCGGCTCCAGGCGCGGGGCTACCCGCAGCCGGTGCTGGCACCACGACTGTAGCCTCAGGGGCCACAGGGTCCTTTGCCAACTTCTCGCGCAGCAAGTCGGCCTGAATGGTCTCGAAACGCTGTCGGCAGGCTGCCGAATGCGAACCGTATCCTGTACTGCACTTCCTGCACTCGTCAGTAGGACCATGAGCATCGATCATGCGCTCCGTGATGTACATGCTGCGTCCGATCGTTCCTGAACTCTTGTCGGGCGTCTGCTTCCAGGGCGTCACCCTGATGTGCTGGATGAGCTCGGGCTGCCATCTGAACTCCTCAGGCATCCTTCGCACCGTTCTGACCTTCTGCACTCCACGTTCAGGATCGATCACGAGATGTGTATCGTCCAGCTCACTCTTACCAACCCAGATTCCTTTTGCGAAGCGGGCTTCCCATTTGCCACGTCCCGCGGCAACTCTGGCTGAGATCCGATACCAGACCTGCTCACCCATCTCCGCAATCTCGCCGTTGTACTCTTTGCCGTAGAGCATCTTGTAGGAGGAACCTCCGTGACTGCGAGGCTGGAATCTGGTAATCATCCACCCCACTGAGTTCACAAGCCATGGCACGATCGGATCCGTCATCTTGATCTCACAGCCCAGCTTGTGCTCCAGCTTCAGCTTGTAGGCTCGAAGTAGACCAGCTGCTAGCTTGTTAGCTCCTTCAGCGTAGCCTGCACTTTGCTTGGAAAAGGGCGGTGATCCCCGCACCAAGGTTGAGTGTGATCTGCGATCTCGAACTGCCTGCGCCAGAGCCATGGTGGCAGGCTCCTGGTCTGTCTGAAGTATGACTGTTGTGTGGCCCCAAGCTTCCAGCACGCCTAGCAGGAAGGACACCTTGTAGTCATCCGTCTCCTTGTTCGCGTACAACGTCGCCTGAGCCAAGATCTTACAGTCGATAACATTCAAGACAGAGACCGCTTGGTCTAGCTCGGCCTTCGTGACCGACATCTTCTCCCTGATGCTGAAGTAACCTCCTTTAAGCTTGTACTTCGCAGCCAGCTGGTCCGTCCCTACGTAAAAGATGTCGAACATGACCTTCGGGATCTTGTTCTCATCAGCTGGTTCCTGAGCGTGGTGTGGGTCATCGTCTGCTCGAGCCTGCACGCAGATGGGACACCAAGGCCGAAAAGGTAGATGATGCCCTTCGTGCGCGGCTCTCTCCGCAGCACTAGGTTGGTGAGGAGTCTTCAACACTCTCGTTGGCACAGTTGTGGTCTCATCAGCTTCAGGACCTAGAACCTTCGGCAAAGATCCAGCTTCCTGTTCAGCTGGTACCTTCCTCGGTAGCGTCTTTCGGACCGCAGCTACCTTTGAAGCTTCTGGTTGAGTCTGGCCGTCGATGATGTGATCGTACTCTAAGTAGTAGTTGCCTTGGTGACGCCGTAGAGGTACGAACTCAGCTCCGTCAGGTGGCTCGACGGTACCGTTGATGATCCAGTGACCTGCAGGGCTATGAAGAACACTCTGACCACGTTGTACTACAGCATCTGTAGCCACAACTGGGTACTCCACATCGGCAACCTCTGCACCGACTTGAATAACCTCTCCTCCTCGGGATAGGTTCAGCTCCACGTGGCCGTACCTCTCGATCTCCTCGCCTCCTATGCCCTTCAAGCCGACAACGTTGCTGTCCGTCGGCGTGTAGTTATGCTTGGTCACCTGTGATCTCGGTATCGCACTGATCTGCGCACCTGAGTCGAGCATGATCGCATTCCGAAGCGGGGCTAACCGCAATCGGTCATCTGCAGGGCTCTGATCTTCATCCACGGGCCGAAGACCAGCGACGGTGACATGCCTGGGGCCGGCCAGCGCGGGGCTCACCGCAGCTGGCACATCGCAGCACTTACTGATAGTCTTTCTTGTGCTTCTTTGGTCTTGGCTTCTCGTTGTCGTCTGGCTCTTCCTCGTCCTTGAACCAGTTGTCCAGGCAGTACTCGGCACACGCGGCACAGTAGTCCAGCTTCCACTGATCGAAGTGCCATCGCCATCCTTCAAAGGTCTTCTTGCAAGAGCAGCAGACATATTGGTGGTAGCTAGGCAAGCAGTACTTCCAGTCGATCGTGTGGCTGCGCTTCTTGAGACCTCTGCCCTCAGGGCCAGAATCATCTTCGCTTGCAGCGCGCAGTTGACTGGGCGCAGCACCTGCTGAGTCATCGCGCTGTCGGCGCTTCCTTGACTTCCCAACATCTGTTGTGTAGGTGCTGTCGAACTTGTTCCTGTGCCCACTCCTGCCTGTCGTAACCTTTCGAGCTCCCTGACTGCCGCTGCCCCGATCTTCTTCTTTTCTTTTCCCTTCTCTTTTCGGAGCTGCTTCTTGTCCTTCTTGTCCTTCTCGGATGTATTCTTCTCGTCGGCGATCCGCTTTCGGCAGTTTGCGCTGCGGTGGCCCTTCTTGTGACAGTAGTGGCACTCGATCTCGGCGTCGGGATTCGGTGGCCTCTCCTTGCCCTTGCCGTCTTTCCCTTTGCCGCGGCCTTTCCACGGTCTCTTTCCGCCCTTCAGCGCGCCTATCTCCATCGGGTCGTCCTGAACCGCTCGCTCTGCCATCAACGCCGACACCACCTCGGCTCTCAGGAGCTCGTACGTACTTAGCCGACTGCTGTTCCGAAACACGTGCTTCTGCAGCTCGTCGTGATCCTTCAGCGCCTTTGTAAGGATGCCTCGCTTGATCAGGTCCGAGACTGGTTCTCCTGCCATCTTCTGGTACCTTGTCATGTCCTCGTCCAGCTTGCTGATGCTCACCATCACGTCTTCTTTGGCGTCGAACTTCGTGTCCGTGAGCTTGGTCCACATCGCCAGCACGTTTCCTGCCTCGCTCGGGTTGTACTCCTTCTGAAGTTTCCTCCAACACTCGGCTCCTTCTCCTACTGGGCTGTTCCTCACGATCAGCTCGCCTACTGAGTCCTCGGGCATCGCCAGGACCAGGCCGTAGTACAACTGCGTGCTTAGCTCTTCCTCCTGCGCGTCCAGGTTGACGTTGTCCACCTCCTGGGCTCCGTCCTCGCACCTTTCCAGAAGATCTCGGTACCTTCGATCCTGGGCGATCAGGTACGCTCTGTACTGGAAACTGAACGTCTTCCAACTCGCCCTGTGGCCGTCGAACGGCTTCACCTTGTGAAGAATCTTCGGATCCATCATCTCGCCGCGCGGGGCTACCCGCTGCTGCTGAGCCTGTTGCTGAGCTTGAAGCTGACCTCGCATCTCTGCGATCGTCACGTCTCTGTTCTGAAGTTCCTGTCTCATGTTCTGACTCTCCGTCGTCAGCCTCTGAACTTGATCGACCAGTTGCTGCAGCTGCTGCTCCATCTTGATAGTCTAGCACGTCGCTGACACGCTTCCCTATCCTCTCGATGTCGCTTCTCAGCTGCCTCGTCACCGCTGCTCGCTCCTCCTGCGTGAGCTGCGCTCTGCTGCCGCACGCCTTGAGCTTCCTAAAGGCGGTCCCTCGGAGCTCGCGGTGCTGACGCGTGTCCGCCGACCTGCCTCCTCGCTTGTTCGGCTTCTTGGCCTTCTCCGTGGCTGCTTGGCCTCCACTGTCAGAGCGCGGGTCTGACCGCAGCTCTGACTAGCAAGGGGTCCTCTCGGCGCTCGCGTGGATCGGCCCGCCAGCTGCTGAGGGGCTCCTTGAGCTCGCCGGGGTGCGGAGCGGCCCGCGATCCTCAAGCGAGCTCCGCTACCATGCACGCGCACCCACCCCCCTCGCGGAGAAAGGGGGGAGGTGAGGGTCGCTCTTTTCCTCGAGCAACAAAGGGCTGCAGGATTTCCTGGATCCTCCAGGACAGTCTAGATTATATTTTATATAATCATATATCTATGTGAAACTACAAACTTCCTAGCATGGTAGCGTCCAAAACCCGGAGAGCAAAGAGGGCACAAACCAGGAAGCCTTCCTGGCAAAGCCCACGGACTGGGCGCGGCGGTAAACCGTCAACCTTGGTTACCGCCGGGAGACTCCTAGAGCTTTCTAGCTCGACTTAAGTTGAGAAAACCGACAGCACCTACAACATTCCGACTTATAGTGAATATTTTTTAACCTCTGAATGCGACAGGCGGACATGTCTGCGAATCGACTCCTGTCATTACCACCCTGCAGCCCCCCTACAGCCCGAGTTAAGTGCAGAAAACCGCAGCACCTCTCAGGATGATTCGAATAATATAGTAGTTTCGCATACCTAATTCGGGCAGCAGACCGAGCTCCGAGCTCTAGATTCGACTGGCGGACGCGCCTGATCTCTTCGAACCGATGCCTATGATCCCCTCTCAGCGCGAGTTGAGTGAAGAAAACCAAGAGCACTCCTCATGATGACTCGACCAATACGAATAGTTTCGCGATTCTAGATCGGGCAGCAGACCAAGTTGAGAGCTCTGAATTCGACACACAAACGCAACTGGTGATGAAGATTTTTTCCTGTCAATATGAGCTCTGTAGCTGTCCTACAGCTCGAGTTAAGTACAGAAAACCGAGAGCGCTTGACAAGATGACTCGAATAATACGAATAGGTTTCTGACCTAGCTCGGCTCACAGACCGAGTTCAGACTCTCGATTCAACAGACAAACGCGCCTAACCATTATACATTGATTAGCTGTGCTTACCAACTCTGTAGCTGTCATAAAGCTCTATTTATGCCCAGAAAACTGTCAGCGCATATCAAGATGGCTCAAAACGGCCGATCCCGAACTGGCGCCGGCGGTGAACTGTCAACCTGGTCACCGCCGGGAACCTCGTAGAGCTCCTCTCACTGTTAAAGAATCGACACAGAATCAAAAAAAAAAAAATCGAAAATCTTATAATTCGATTTTTTTCGATGTTCATATTCGCTCAGTTCCTGGAAGTCAACTCATGCAAAAATGCATCGAGAGAGCTGAGCTGCTGTTAGCGAGAAGTTTATATGCCAATGCTCGGCCTGAAAATCTGCTTTCTCAAAATCAATGGTCGAATATCTTTCAAATTTTCGCAAAACCACCCAAAAATTATCACATTGTCCGCCTCGGCCGGCTGTGCCAACTAGCTCCACCCCGCGCCGGAACTGGGCGCCGGCGGTAAACCGTCAACCTTTCTTACCGCCGGGGGACTCGTAGAGCTTCCTGACAATATATAATCCGGACAAAAAAAAAGAGATAGAGAGAGAGAGAGAGAGAGAGAGAGAGAGAGAGAGAGAGAACGACTAGTTTTTCAGCCCAAGCGATTTCGGACCTCTCAAGATGACTCTAATGAAAAACACTTTCGCAGCACAGTTCGAATATCAAACCGAGTTCAGACCTCTGAATGCGACAGGCGCACGCGTCTGATGTCTCCGAATCGACTCATGTGATTACCAGCCCTGCAGCCCCCCTACAGCCCGAGTTAAGTTCAGAAAACCGACAGCATCTCTCAGGATGACTCCAATAATACAATAGTTTCGCGGACCTAATTTGAGCAGCAGGCCGAGTTCTGAGTTGCGTTCGACGGACGGACGCGCCTGATGTGTCCGAATCGATTTCTGTGACCAGCAGCACTGTATCCCTCTCCCAGCACGAGTTGAGTGCAGAAAACCGAGAGCACTTCTCAAGATGGCTCGAAGAATACGAATAGTTTCGCGATCCTAGCTCGGGCAACAGGCCGAGTTCAGAGCTCTCGATTGGACAGACGAACGCGCCTGATGACTCCGAATCGATTTCTGTGACTATGAGCTCTGTAGCTGCCCTACAGCTCGAGTTAAGTACCGAAAACCGAGAGCGTCTGTCAAGATGACTCGAATAATACAAATAGGTTTGCGGACCTAGCTCGGCTAGCAGAGCGAGTTCAGACCTCTCGATTCAACAGGCGAACGCGCCTGATGATTCTGAATACGATAGGTGTGCTGTCCAGCTCTGTAGCTGCCCTACAGCTCGAGTTAAGTACAAAATACTAACAACGCGTATTAAGATGACTCGAAACGGCCGATCCCGCCGGGACGCTTTTTGGCAGTAAAAGGTACCCGATCGAGCTGAGATCAAGATGGCGAGCGGGAATAAGATCGAATATCACGGGAAAAAATACTAGAGCTCAAACGAATTGTTGAATTTCGAGGAGAAAATTTTCAACCGACCAAAAGTCACCAAAAGGTCCGTCGAGATTTTCTTGCCAACTAGCTCTCCAGCGCCCCGGAATTACTCTTAAGCTTCCAGCAATAACTTGCTAAGGGAAACTCTACGAGTTATTCCTCTAGTTCATCGATGCCGAAGAGCTTTACGAGGTATATGATGGGAAGAAATACAGAGCTCAAACGAATTGCTGAATTTCGAGAACGAAACTGGGCGCCGGCGGTAAACCGTCAACCTTTCTTACCGCCGGGGGACTCGTAGAGCTTCCTGACAGTATATAGTGTGGGAAAAAACTACAAAGAACGACTAGTTTTTCAGCCCAGGCGATTTCAGACCTCTCAAGATGACTCTAACAAAAAAAACAAACAGTTTCGCAACCCAGTTCGAGTATCAAACCGAGTTCAGACCTCTGAATGCGACAGGCGGGCGCGTCTGATGTCTGGAAATCGGCTCATGTGATTCCCAGCCCTGCAGCCCGCCGACAGCCCGAGTTATGTGCAGAAAACCGAGATTATGGACTCGAATAATAAAATAGTGTCGCGGACCTAGTTCGAGCAGCAGACCGAGTTCCGAGCTCTGGAATCGACCGACACACGCGCCTGATGTGTGCAAATCGATGTCTGTGACCCGCAGCACTGTATCTCTCCCCCAGCACGAGTTCAGTGCAGAAAATTGAGAGCACTCCTCAAGATGATTCGAACAATACGAATAGTTTCGCGAACCTAGCTCGGGCAGCAGACCGAGTTCAGAGCTCTCGGTTCAATGCAGGAACGCGACTGATGATTCCCCATCGATGTCTGTGACTATGAGCCCTGTAGCTGCCCTACAGCTCGAGTTAAGTACAGAAAACCGAGAGCGTCTGTCAAGATGACTCGAATAATACGAATAGGTTTGCGAACCTAGCTCGGCTAGCAGACCGAGTTCAGACCTCTGGATTCAACAGGCGAGCGCGCCTGATGATTCTGAATGCGATAGGTGTGCTTACCAGCTCTGTAGCTGCCCTACAGCTCGAGTTAAGTATAAAATACCGACAACGCGTATCAAGATGACTTGAAACGGCCGATCCCGCCGGGACGCTTTTTGGCAGTAAAAGGTACCCAATCGAGCTGAGATCAAAATGGCGAGCGAGAATAAGATCGAATATGACGGGAAAAAATACTAGAGCTCAAACGAATTGTTGAATTTCGAGAACAAAATTTTCAACCGACCAAAAGTCAGCAAAAGGTCCGTCGAGATTTTTCTTGCCAACTAGCTCTCCAGCGCTCCGGAACTGCCGCCGGCGATAAACCGTCAACCTGGTCACCGCCGGGAACCTCGTAGAGCTCCTCACACGCCTAAGAGTGCTCAGCATCAAAAGAGAGGGCTTCTAGAAGCATGTCTCGAAAAAGAGAAGACATCATTTTTTGATGTCGACATAAAGTTGGTTCCGCCAAGTGTTTTGATAGTAAAAGTGCATCTAGAGAGCTCATATTAAGACGCAGAGGCCCTCATAGTCTTCTACAGGTGCGAAAAATCTGCTTTCTTAAAATAAATGGTCAAATATCTTTCAAAAAATCGCAAAACCACCCAAAAGTTGCCACATTGTCCGCCTCGGCCGGGTGGGCCAACTGGGAGCCGGCGGTAAACCGTCAACCTTGGTTACCGCCGGGAACTCGTAGAGTTTCCTTGCCACATACATGAATTGGATGCGGGCGCGGCAATATCGCATCCCGTGCGCACGAAGGTGCGGTTTCATGGGGAGGACGTGGAGGAGAAGAAGGAGTGAGGAGGAGAAGGAGGTGGAGGAGGCTGAGGAAGAGAAGGAGAAGGAGGAGAAAGCAGGAGGAGGAGAAGGAGGGGGAGAAGGAGGGGGAGGAGGAAGACAAGGATGACGAGCAGGAGGGGGAAGGGTGGAGGGGAGAAGGGCGACGATGATGATGAGGAGGAGGGGGAGGAGGAAGAGAAGGAGAAAGACGAGAAGAGGCAGATGAAGGAGGAAGAATAGGGGGAGGAGAAGGGAGAGGAGAAAGAGAAGGCGGAGGAGGAGAAGAAGGAATTCAATTCAGAAACGCACATCATCGCTGGTAGAATATTTACAGTGCGAATAGTTTTCCAATCGTAGCTATGGTTGCAGTCCGAATTCAGACGCCTCGATACCGTAGGCGACTGTACCTGGTTACCTTGAGCTTCGACAAGTGTTTTTTTCAGGTCCGTAGCCAGCCTACAGATCGGATGAAGTAGGAAAAAACTAGTTCATCTCTTT